AAAGAACGTGTAAATGAGTAATTAGTACTATTTTTTTGGTACGCGTACCACTTTCATCCAAGCCGCGCCAAACATTTTCTGCCGTGTAAATGGGGCTTAAATGGGGCTCTAATTACGTCACACAAAAAGTTATGGGGTTGTTTAGTATATCCAGAAAGAAGAGGATGAAAAAAGCCCCCCTTGCAAAAAATCCCCCTGTCAAAGTAATTTGGTGGGGATTTATTATTATCGTTATACTCTGATGACTCCATACTAATACTCCTAAAATTGGCTTTGATCTTTTTAGTAAAGTTTACCGATCCCATAATTTCACAAATCTGCATTGCTGTGACTTTACACTTTACTCTGTTAAGTGCAAATAAATGATCAATTGATGGACTGAGTTGACAAAGTCAATTTCTAATTGTCAAGACTGGAGAGCTGAAGTTTCGAGCACTGGCCCTGGGAACGTGAGAAGTGACCTTGCGCTTAACATAAAAGTTATATTTAGTGAAATAAAAAATAAAAAAAACTTCCAGAGTAAGTTGTGGCCCAAGAAGATAGAGTGTCAAGGTCTTGTTGAAATAGACTGGCATCCCGACTCACTTGAGATTCTGAAGTACCGTAAATCCTCTATTAAGTCCCTCGCGGGGGCTTGTTTATTCCAAGTCCATTTGAGCAGGGGCTTAATAGAGACGCGGGGCTTATTTGTAAGTATATTTAGAAACGACGATGGTATCAGTTTTCCATGAAGAACTAGAATACAAGGTGGAAAAGCCCGGAAAAGCTAATGTACAATACGTTTTAGGTCATGCAGCCGAGGATCAGAATCAAATCCAAACTTCCAGTTGGTAAATAAACTATCCTGGATCAGTCTACATGAACTTTTACAGTCGTGATTGATTAAAAGATCGTTTTCACTGTCACGCAACAAAAAAATACATTGGAAACCGTCCTGTGGAAGAAGCCAAGAAAATGTAGTGTTATAAAAGACTAATATATAAACAATTTGTCCAAGTCTCAGGTCTTTGTGGCCCACAGTTTCTGAGTAATTAGCCGAAACGTTTCATGCACCTTTGTACAGCCTGGAGCCGCCATAGTGGTGTACAGTTTTGGTGCACCAAACAAAAAACATCTGGAGTTCACTTTTGCTATAAAAGCTCTTTCTTTTCAATCGAGAACTAGCATACGTGCGCATAAACATATCTTTTAATACCTCAAATGGTTATACTGCTACAAATCGAGAGGAGAGACTTTTTTTCAACGAGACAGCATTCCTATTTTGGTGTCACGCGCTGTGAAAACTTTGAAGTTCAAATGCTGTATTTTCGAAATGAAAAATGCTACGGTAATGGAAACTTGTGCAAAGATTTATTTTTTGTTTATCTTCAACCTAGGGTAAATAAGAATTCGTAAAACTTCGCTATTTTGACTTTAAAATTTGATGACGTCACTGTGAAAACCATCTATACATTAGTGAAAAATAATAAGGGGGAGGGGAAGGGGGGCTTATTAACGTGCTTCCCCTGAAAATTAGAGGGAGCTTATTAGAGGGAGGGGGGCTTAATTGAAAGGGGGAGTGGGCTTAATAGAGGATTTACGGTAGTACATATAGAGAACAGTATCAGCAAATAACTTATCATTTTGAAATTGAGGTTAGGATCAATGTCACTGAAAAAAGGGGTTCTAGGACGGTACCTTGAGAGATGCCAGAGGTGACATTGAAGACAAGAATAAACGAATAATAACATGATTTGTACGTGATATTTTCGAGGGTGGAAGCGGAAAATTGAATATTGAATATTGACTTTAGCTTTAATAGTTTGAATATTTGAAAATTTAGTTTGAATATTTGAAAATCTAGTTTGAATATGAGTAAATGTACTTGAATAATGAATCTTTAGTTTTCTAGAAAATTCACTTATTCCTTATACGAAGATCATGTGAAATATGCTCATAAAATAACCTGAGATAACCATGAGTGCAGAAACACGCTGCTTTTCTTTTGGATTGTGTATAATTTACATTGATGAAGCACTGTTTTGTCATGTTTTGAAACTGTTTATATTTTAATTGAGAATGCCAATGGGGTTAGCGGTTAACTGATATTTGGCCAAAAAAACAGTAGTTAACTGATAATTGGCGGAAAAATTAGTAGTTAACTGAGAAATGAAAAGTTCACAGTGAAGTGATGACATTCCATTAATTATACTGAATACAGATTGTTGATGTTACGAAAGCAACAAAGTTTTGCAAACAGAAATGCTATATTTTCTGACTTTTTTCTGTCCCGCTGATGACCCGGTGACACATTAACTGATGTTACTATGTGCAAAAGGCACACCAGGCCAGTACTCGACAAACAGAGAGCGTAAGTCATAGAGCTGCTTGTAGACAACTCAACGAATATAATTCGTCCTCTAATACTAACAAAATTTTGGTGTACGGAAAAGGAAAATACTCTTTTCACGGACCCAAAAGATCGTCAAGTTAAGCATTTACTACCCAAAGAAAAAAGCTG